TGGCTGAACAAAATCTTATGAAATGCCTGACTGAGACACTGGACTTCCTGCAGTATGCGGCTTACGTTTCAGGGGTTACTTAATGTTCTTCACTATCCCTTCTGTTGCAGGCTTGCCGTCTGCGAGAAAACATAGTTGCCCGTTCCAGGGAATGGGAGTTTACCTTTGGATGAGTTGACCGCAAAACTGTAATACTCAGATTCAGGGCTTTGAGACATGTGCACACTAAGCTTCAGTGGGAAAAGAGAGCATGGGAATTCACTGTGGTTTGTAGGGCAAGTTCCATATATAGGTTGATTCACTTGACTAATGTCCCCCTTCTATCTGCTTGGCAAAATCTGTAGAACACTAGAGAAAGGGAAGAGAAGGTGGCTATGAAAAAAACAGACCAACAGTGGTGGAAGTATTGCTGTATGTGTATATATATATGTTTGTGCATATACAGTCCTTGAATTTATTAAACGAGGTGCTTAGAGGTTGACTTGCTTTAATTAGCAAAAAAGCAATATGGTTGTGCAAAACTCAAAAAGCTAAAACGATAGTTATCAAATGCATTACATCAGTATGGCATCTGTTGATGGGGAAAGTTCAGAGGGCACAACGTCATATGGTATTGAACAACCCTTTGGTCAGTTCAGATCAGCTGCCTCAGCTGTGTATCCTCCCAACTTCATACTCATGTCCAGCCTACCTGCTGCAATGGCAGAGCAGGGAAAACAAAAAAGCCTTGATGCTATGTAAGCACCACTCAGCAATAGCCAAAACCCTGGTGTGTTACCTTTCATGATGGAACAGAAGACTTTCTCGTTTTATGTAAACTGGGAAGCTTTCTACAGTAATGTTCTTTTGATCTTTAAGGAATTATTCAGAATTTAAGCAAAATAAAACTCAAAACATCAGTATGATTCTTTTAACTTTTCTTCCAAAACCTAATGGACTAGAAATTTAAAAGAGATTAAAGGGTAGGAAAATGAACAAGATTGATTAAATCATAACCAGTATCTCTGTGAATTGGAAGCACACTGGTGGTGCAGCTCTCACAAATGAAGGCATCAGCTCAATGTGAGTCTAAGAAACATTACTTAAAAATATGCTTTAGCAGGCTTATGCACTGGGTTGCTTTAAACTCGCAGTAAATTAGAGGTGGCCTAATCACAGTTGTCTGCTTCTGAATTGTGTTTGTGATGGTGGAAATGTGTGGAAATTAAGTGAAGAACCAAATACTAATTTCTGTATCTTTTATTTGGATAGGAAAGAGATGCTGCTCCTTATCTGTAGACATAATTTCTCAACCATTCATTTTATTAGAGGCAAAGTTATGGAAAGGTCCTAACTGTTTTAAAATATTTGCTCTTCAGATATTTAAAGATGTTTAATCTTGTTACGTAAGGACTACTTATGGATAAGGTATTAGTACTGTGCTGTCACTTACATTTTTACTGTATTGTAGATGTACAGCAGGAAGGAATTAGATGTAATCATCTATGTGATTGCAGAAATTTATGATGCCCATGCTGGATCTGAATAATGAGTGGGTCCCTGCTCCTCTACTTAAGACATGTGCTTGATCAGTGAAAGTATTTATAAAAGGTTGCAAGGTTAATTCTTTATTTGCCTCCTTAAGTTGGAGGAAGTACCTAATACATGCTGAACAAGGAATAACTTAAATGGGTTATTGTGTCTTTTCTCAAAATGGGTTCAGTTTTACTTAAGGCAGAAAATTCCAAGTCATGCTACATAATAAGCTGATCATGTGGAGGATGCAAAAGAATCAAATCCCTGGAACCTTGTTCTGGCTCAGTCTCTTTCAGTGATATTTGCAAATAAACTGTTTTTCAGTAATCTCTGAGTATTTTAAGGCAGAGGACATTACTTGCTTTCACTAGGTATTCCAACATGAGAATAACCTTGAAGAACAGTGTAGTGAACATTTGTGTGACAAAATGGAAATGTAAGGCCTGCATATCAAAAATATTTTGATGCTCTGCTGCTTGCGAGGACAGTCTCTCAGAGGCATGTGCTAGTACCATAATGATTTTCAATGAGAAGCTCTTAATGTATGACCCAAAGTAAATATATCTAGGAATTGCTATAACTATGTACTTCACTTAATAAAACCACATATGTTGCCGAGTCAAACTTGAATGTTGTAAAAAAATAGTAGTCCCAAGTAACCTTGAAAGCTTCACTTAAAAATAATTGCACAAAATTGTGTACCTGTTTCCTCCTACTTGTTTTTTCATAGCAGATTTTTTTATGCTATTTTCAGGTTATTTAATACTGCTTAGTCTCCTATTCTTATGCAGCCTTTTTCCAAAGGACTTGACAAAGAATGGTTTATCTAGTACTGGTGTCAGTACTTAAAAATAATTGCTGTGGGAGTCAAGCAGACCTAGTAATAGAAACTGAGATGAATTTTAGTGCTGCTGAATTCCCAAGCATTTGTCATGCTATATTGTACCTCTACAAAACGCATTAATTTTTAGATAAAGCACAAAACTAAATTAAACATTAAGTTTAAGAAATGTTACTATCTTGTTACATGGTGGGTTTTTTTTTTCCTGTTGCACGCTTCTGTGCTCACTCTGCGCAGTATTTAGCTTTAACTTTTCAAAAGACCACTCTACAGAAACCTTAGTCATGTATGAGTCCTGCTGGAGCAAAACTACCAGAAAAGAAATTAAACATCAAATTTCTCAATATGATTTGGAATAAAATTGTCCAGTGGCTCCAGGGTGACTTCCCTTTCTGTTCTTTTTTGGAAAGTTTCAACACCTTGTTTGTGCCAAAATTATATGGGCTGGAAGGGACCACTGGAGGTCATCTGCTCCAGACCCAGAAAGATGGTATGATCTCTACTACAGAATGCTTTATTTAGTAAGGCATTGGTTTCCTTATACCATCTTCAGCTGGACCATTTTCTGCAGTAATAAATACTAAATAAAAGAAAGGGCTGTTTGAATTCTTTGTTTACTTAGTAATATATGCAGAAGTGTTTTGGTTGCTATGAAAAGTTTGCATTCTAAACCAACCCTGTCAAACTTTAATTTATTCCAAGCTTGTGCTTTTGGGTACTTATCATAAATTTAATCTGGAGGGATGAAAATTTGCACATTTAATATAGTTCCAACAGTTCTGCTCTTTAGTTTAAAGAAGTTGTTCTATATTCAGAACTGTTAAGCTGTTTAAGCAAAAATGTCAGTTTCATGGAATCAAGAAACACGTCAGAAATGCTTCTTTTTACAGCTTCTGTGACCAGGGGTGTTCCTTACAGAGTTGGAGAAGAACAAAATGTGCAAATTCTTACAATAAATTCTGTTCTGAAATATTCGCTGTTAATTCTGATGTTAATAATAATTTAAGTTTTATGGCATATTTACTGAGGTATGGTAAGTTGTAGAAAACTTCATTTTGAATGGTCACTTTAAAAAAATCCTTGATATGCAAAAATCTACTTTCAAAACCCATACATTTTTTCTCATACCAAATAGGAGGGATTTTTCCTCTGCAGTATTAGGTGGCACTTGGAATTAGCGTGCTATTGTTCTGATCACATACTTTAAGATGAAAGTTGTAATGCAATATAGAATCAGGGAATCCATGGAATAGTTTTCCAGCACAGTTTCCCAAACAGTTTTGGTCTTGTATAAGGTATGTAAAGTCAACATAACTATTTTTGGAAGAGGAAGCAAGTATTTCTCCGAGAGATTGGTGAGGATCAGTTTGAGTGTGAAAATACCTGTTCCCTAGAAAAATGGAGCTCAGTTCATTGCAGCTCTTTGAGGTTTTTGGTGAGGTTTGCTCCTGTAGCAAGAGTGTTACTGCTGTGACAGGCTTCTGTTCACTTAGGCCATCTTTGAATACTCTTGAGTTTCCTGACTGCTCTTTACAAACACCAAGCTCATTACTCGTTATGACCAGTTTGCAAGAGCGGAAAGGAAAGGGCTACCTAAATAAGAACTACTTTATACCCATGTGTTGAGCTGTAAAGTTCTTCAAGTAAATCATTTAGTAAATGATGATTTAATGACTTCAGCAACCTTGGGAGACTCTGTGACTCTGTCAAAGCCACATTATGGGAGTGATAAAGGTGAGGGTGAAGCAGGTTAATGTCAGGCCAACACCCAGCCTGACAGTGCTCTACCACCGTCATTCAGTAATCAATCCTAGTTAAAGGCTGTACTCATCGATCAACCAATCCACCTCATGCTTTTGTGATAAGTGTAGAGTAAATGCATATTAAATGCATGCAAAGAATGCATTTGTCATTTCACTACTATAAACCAGTTTGTATTAATTTTAAAAATTGATATTTTGATGGGCATGGGTGATCAGCTTGATATTGGTATGAGAACAACTGTAAACATATTTATGCAGTCATTTTCGTAATCAAATTTTACGTCAATGCCATTCTGTATTTTGAAGTATCCAGGCAAGACTTCCCTTTTCCAAAGGAGGAGAATGCTGTTATTTGCCTTCAGGTTTACAAAGGAAGAGAAATTGTGAACACAGATTGTGTCCATTGGTGCTTAGCACCTAAAACATCTGCATGTTCTGCAGATGCTCTTTTCAGGAAGGCTAAATGTCATCAGTCTGATTCTGATTTTTACATTTAAGGTTTTTCAGCCCTGCAGAACTGTATAATTTGGATGCTGAAATTAGTCAATAAATCAAATTATAGACAGCTTTTTGCCTAGTGCATGGTATGCAGTGGTTCAGTTTAAGATTTCAACTTATTTTTAACCTATCCTGGAACTTAGATTTATTTTAAAATGGATTAAGTACCAGTGAAGGTATAAGGTTAATATTTTTCCAGTCATCTGCCATGTCCCTTATGACCATAACTGCAACTTCATTACAAACCAAAGTCATTATGATAAACAAATATGTAAAGAGATTTAACTTCTGATACTGATAAAGGAGCAGCGTCTTTAACGAGATTTTTTTAAGTCCTCTCTTTTTCAGAAAGGTTACTTGTGTTTGTTTTGTTTCTTTTAAAGCCACAGAAGAAAGAGGAACAGCAATCAGAAGCTAAAGCAAGTCCAAAAAAGACATCAGAACCCACTATTGACCTTTTAGGACTTGGTAAGCAATACATAATTAGCTGTTCTTAAATCAAACACAGATACATCATTTTATATCTAATAGGTATACTTTTATTTTCTCTGTGCTTACTGATAGATGAATTTGAAAACCGTAAGATTGAGTCTATGAATTTGAAACTATAAAGGAAATGCCATAGGGGTCTTGAGTATATCAATAGTTGTGTTTTTGCTAAGGAGAGTAATGAGCTCCTGTGGGAAGGGAAAGTTATCAAAGTGATTTTCAAAGGGCTTATGGGTTGTGGTATTTCAATATTTACGGTACAAGTGTACTTTTTATTGAAAATGCTGAGGTCATCTGAATTGTGTATCTAAAATACCTTATATCATAAAATTCCTGTATTAGTTAGAAGAACAGTAAACTGGCTGCAGCTGACTAGTACCTTGTAAGACTTAATGCATTGGGCATTTCAGTATTGTGTTCTGACTGTGGCCATCTCATTTTTATCCAATATACCTTTTGTTTTCTGACTGGCAGGTAACTGTCTATTTGCCTTGTAAATGAATTTGTTTGGACCTGAATCATTTAAATTGCACTATCTAGCTATACTTTTGGGTTTTTTATGCCTTTTCTTTGCTTGTTGAAGGCCATAGTTATAAACTCTACCTTTTATTTATCTAGTGTTACTGTAAGTGTGGTTTTTTTTTCCATTTGATAGAATCTTAAAATGGAACTGGAAGAATGAAATATTACAGTCTTTTTATTTCAGTGTTAGGAAAATTTTCTGCGAGTTGTGAGTGGATATTAGGGAGTATTCCATTTATAGGAATCTGATGTTGGAGATTTTTAAAATTTCTACATAATTTCTACAGGATATTAGAACAGGCTGATGAGTCTTTAAAATGTAATTATTTTAAAAACTTGACTTTGTAAAAAAAAATGTTTTTTTTTTTAAGTTTTGATTTTAAGGTATGAATAATGTTGCAACAAACCAATAAATATTTTCTCTGTTTTAGAATTCACGCTATCATTCAAAATGCATATTGTTTTCCTATAGTAGCTGTAAAATACTGGTTTTGTACCAGCTATGCACGTGTTGTGGTCTGTATCTCCTTCCAAGTAATCTGCTACCATTGGCAAGCAAATCCTAGTTAACACAGTACAAATTAGATTATGGATGTAGAATGAATCTATTTTTAAAAAAGGTGATTTAGACTTGATTAAAAGCTGATTCTCCTTTATTTTCCTTTAGCAGACCAGCAAACTAATTAAGACCTAAAATTTAATCAATATGTGGGTTTGAGATTGCTAGGCTTCTGTACCCTTTTAGTCACAATTTGAAAAGAATCTTGGTAACAATTTTATGATATGATAATGAACATGGATTGCATAGGCTAACTTGAGATGTAATGTGCAACAGAAAGAGTTTTATAATTGGTGTTCAACAGCTGTGCTTCTTCCGTGAGATATACAAAGGGCAAAGTTTATAATTTGTATGTTAAAACCCTATAATTTTAGAGGAGGGAGTGTTTAAAGATCTTTTAAATAACAAATTGAAAAGCAGTGTAATAAGTTAGTAGCACTTGAATTCCACTGAGCTCCAAATGAGAAATGTGTATAATGAGAGCAGACCTGCATATTTCATTTGGAGAGTTGTCTTTGAAGTAATGTTTGCAGTAGACTGCTTTAGACAGTATTAAAAGAAAGATCATTTTAACCCAATGTATCAGAAACCATAGAGTAGCCCGGGTTGGAAGGGACCTCGAAAGACCATCTAGCCTGACTTTTGGGAAAGGGAGTCTGTCTGCATGTGAATATCTAGCATCCAGTTGCATCTTGGCAACCTCCAGAGATGGAGACTCTACCACATCCATGAGGAGGTTGTTCAGGTAGTTGATCTTGCTGTAAATTATTTTTTTGATGTCGAGATGAAACTTCTGGGGCAACTTGTACCTGTGCCCTTGTCTTCTCCATGTGGCTCCTTGTGAAGAGAGCCTCTGTCCCCTTTGTAGCTGCCCTTCATAGTGTAGTGCTGGCATACCAGGGTGAGATCCACCCTTACCCTTCTCTTCTCCAGGGAGAAAAGACCTAATTTCTTCAGTCTCTTCTCATAGGGCAGGTTGTCCACCCCTTTGACCATCTTCACAGCCTTCCTTTGGACCCTCTCAAGTCTGTCTGTCTGTCTATCTATCTATCTATCTATCTATCTATCTATCTATCTATCTATCTATCTATCTATCTATCTATCAGTCTAGAAATCGACCTAGATTTCTATTAAGAAATCTTTCTTAAATTGTGGGGACCAGAACTGCACACAGATTCCAGGCTTGCGCCTGACAAGTGCTGAGGAGAGTGGGATGATCACATCTGATCTGTTAGTAATGCCCCTGCTGGTGGCAGCCCAGAATCCCTTTTGCCTTTTTGCTGCAGCAGCACACTGCCAATTAAGATGTTTGATATGTCATATCAAACAATATTAAAATGGATGTGATTGCATAGCTCACTCTTACTGAGTTGACATGTTTCTAATGAGGATTCATTCTCTTACAACTTCATTTCTGCAAATGAAGAGCAGCAGTAGCTTTTACTAGGGCAGGTCAGAATTGCCTGTGATGGCAAATTAAGTAATTTTAATGGATGACAATTCATGCTAGAATAATTTTGGCTTTCAAAACAGCCCAGCTTCATGCAAAGTATTTTCTTGAGTAAGCCTCGGTGCTGGCTTTGGATATGGGGTTAACCTTTGGATCATTGCTTATTATGTCTCAGTTGGGTTTTTAATAGTAACCTTAGCAGAAGGTAAACATCCTGTGAGATAGGACTTACTCAGTGAAAACAGTAGTTAGACAATGTAAATTGTTCTTTTTCTTTACAATTTTCAAATTTTTCAAGATAGTATGCTTAGGCAAATTGTATCTTTAAATCTTGTAATAGCAGAAGTGGCATAATATCCTCAGTGACTCTACTGTTATGTTTGTGTTTCATCTGAGATTTTTTACATAGATTCATGTGGTTCCTTGGAGTTTCTGTTCAGTGGGTTTATTATTTAGATGCTGTTTGGATGTTCTCTTTCTGATGATCCAACAGGATTCGTGGCTTTTGGCCTTTTGATTCAGAGTAGGTTTTAGTTCAGTGCTCCAGACATAGAAAGGTGGGGAAATGGACATGTACAAGCTAAATATTCTTACGTTCTCCACAAGCACTACTGTCAGTGTTCTTGCTGTGCAACTCCAAATTCCTTCTGTCTCTTCTCACGCCGTGAGAAATCACAGCCTATTTCTGTCGGCTAAAACTGAAGCTGCTTTTTTAGTACCTCTTCAATTATTTGATTCTTGTCCACAGTGAAATTGTGCACTACTGAAAATGTGGGGACTTAAAATTGATTCTTAAATCAATAGTATGGGATTTTATAACATTGATTTTTAATAGGAGAATTATAGGAAACATTTTTCAGTTTGAAAGTCACAGTGCATAAACCATGGTTCTTCAGCACTTAGCCCATTACCAGGGCTGTATTTTAATCTCTCTGGTGTTAACCTTGTGCTCTCTGCTACTTTGTGGGTTTTGTCTTTCAAGGTAGCTTTCTTCACTTAGGCCAGGTAGATGTAAATAGATTTCTTAAATACTTGTAAAAAACTGTATGATAGCTATGTGTGATAGTGGGAATCTTTCTCTGAAGATTTTTGATCATTCTGATCATTTTTGAAGGCAATTTTTGATCATTCTGTTTGTCAAGGTGCATCACTTGGAAATCATTTCAACATACAGAAAAAAATGAAAAATTGGTGTTTTTTAAACTATTACCTTACAGAATTATCAGAAAGAAAGAATGTACATTTTACATATTCTACATACTTTACCATGTTGTCCCTAGACAATAAGAGCAGATGTGCCCTTCATAAATAGACAATTTTACATTCTGGAATAACCATTGTTAGTAAGTTACAGTGATTGAGCAGAAGATAAGAAATTTACTAGGCTGTTACTGTTAACTGAATATGATGTATGGGGCATTCATTCAGCGTAGTTGGAGGGGAAATGCAATATGCTGAAAGCTGCTTATCTGCTCATGTTTGGGAAATATTCGCTGAAGGAATCCTGTGAGATTTTGAGAGCTTAATCATGATATGAAATGCAGCTGGATGTTGCATAAGTCAGAAATGTATGTTTGTTGGTATTATTTGGTAAGTGCCAAAGCAGCATGGTTGGTCGTAAGTTGGAAAGCTGCATTTAAGAAATTATAAAGATTTTTTAGAAGTACATAAATATCATGTATGCATTTATAGATCACAGACTCGTAGAATCAAAGAATAGTTTGGGTTTTAAGAGACCTTGAAAGGTCATCTAGTCCAACCCTGCTGCAGTAAGCAGGGATATCTTCAACTAGACTGGGTTGCTCAGGGTCCTGTCCAACCTCACCTGACCTAGAATGTTGCTAGGGATCGGCTATCCACAACTTCTTTGGGCAACCTGTTCTAGCACTTCACAACCTTCAATGTGAAAAATATCTTCCTTATACCCAGTCTGAATCTACCGTCTTTTTGCTTAATACCGTTGCCCTTTGTTCTTTTGTTACAGGTCCTGCTGCAAAGTTTGTCCCCATATTTCTTATAAGCCCACTTAAGATACTGGAAAGCTGCTATAAGGTCTCCCCGAGCCTTCTCCAGGCTGAACAAGCCAAACTCTCTCAGCCTGTCTTCATAGGAGAGGTGCTCCAGCCCTCTCCTTGTCTTCATGGCCCTCCTCTGGACTTGCTCCAACAGGTTCAAATCCATCTTATGCTGGTGGACCCAGAGCTGGACACAGTACTCCAACTGGGGTCTCATCAGAGCAGAGTAGAGGTGAAAAATGACCTCCCTTGACGTGCTGGTCACACTTCTTTTGATACATGTCCAGTCATGTCCAACTTTACATCTACCAATATCCTGAGTCCTTTCCAGGGTTGCTTTCAGTCCCTCATCCCCCACCTATTACTGATACTGGGGGCTGCCCTGTCCCATCTGCAGGACCTTACACTTTTCCCTGTTGAACCTCTCCAGGTTTGCATGGAATCATTTCTTGAGCTTGTAAACACGTTAACATTTGTAGTATTGCTGCTATGTTAAGATTATGCTTAAGTAAGCAATGTATCTACCCAAAATGAAAACCTTTACAACCATTTAAGGCATACAGTATTGTTAGCTTTATGGCTTTCCACATTCTATTTTAAGAAGTATTATATAGAAATGGCCTCCCTGTGAATGCTTTTTCACTTCTGCAAAGGTTTTATCAGTAAACAAAATTTTATTAATGCAATAAATAGCTCTACAATAATTTCAGACAGGCAAACATTGTTTTGTATCTTTGCCCCAGTATTGAACCTTTTCTCTCAGTTCTATCTTCCTAGCAATTTGGTATAATAAATAATCATATGCATATTCTCGCTCTATTGCAAGTCTTGGTATGGCTGCCATAAATGGTTGTATATATAAAAATACATGGCAGCTTAGTAACAAACTTCTTTTAAATAGTTTGCCCCATAGAAAATGAGTTTCAGAAGCACAATGCAAAGCTTAAGAGCAGAGTTTCTTTCTTGTGTTCCCTTCTCGTGCCTTTGAAACTCTTCTTATGGTCATTCTCACTGTTAGTGCAGATAAATATACCAAGGATTAATGGTGTATATGAAAGGTTTCATAACTAAGCCAGCACTGAATTGGAAATTGTCATGTCAGGCATTAGTAAAATGTATACAGAAAAGCACTGTAAAGGTATACTTTACTGGAACCTTTCAGTCACTAAATATCCCAGTAAATAGCTTTTGTTTCTCCTATCAAATTTAAACAATACTTCCTGATCTGAATTCAGAGGCAGCATCTGCTGTTGCACAGTATGGCAGACAGCAGTTGGATGTTTTCTGTCATATTGTCATAACTTGTAAGAAGAGAAGTGTTGGGATCACAGCTAAGAGTTTGAAATGAAGGACAGCATCTATTGACATTCCATGTTACCTTCTCTGACTGAGTGTGGAAGTTCTGCCTTGCCTGTGCTCTTATTGCAATGGCTTCTGCCACATCTAAAACTTCATTCCTAGCTATGGATGTATTTTCCAGAAAAGCAATGGAAGTACTGTTGATAAGAAATTAGTTGATTCAGAGCAATTCTGTGATGGTTGAAACTGCAGACTTCTCAAAATATTCATACAGGCCTGTATAACTTAATCTGATTTTCACCTGTTCCCTGGAAAGGCTACAGCCATGTCTCCTTCTGTCAAATACACGCCACTTCTTCTAATCAGTTTTTAATGGTAGGCAGCAGAAGTTGAATGAAAAGTAATTTACTTAGAATGATTTAGAACTCAGAACTCTGCTGGAGTATCTTTCTTATAGTAAGGAAATACTTTAAAATGAGAAGGGAAAGGAGAAAGTGCTTCCTAATCCATGACCTGGCGCATTGAAATCGCAAATACCAGTAATTATAGAATCACAGAATAGTTAGGGTTGGAAAGGACCTTAAAATCATCTAGTTCCAACCCCCCTGCCATGGGCAGGGACACCTCACACTAAACCATGTCACCCAAGGCTCTGACCTTGAAACACCACCAGGGGTGGAGCATTCACAGTTTCTCTGGGCTTCCCATTCCAGCGATCTCTGTATAAGAAGTGTGAACTATTATGTTGACGTAAAAGTCTGTGATTGCCTGCATGCATGTGTGTATTTAAAGATACTAATATTGATACAGGTAATAAACTGAAGTGAAAACACTCTTAGGTTTCTTCTGTATTCTTAAATATAGTTCTTTATGGAATCTTTTTGTTTCAGGGGAGGAGTGAATGTTTTCAGAGTTGCTTTTTAATAGGTATAAATATTCTATCTGATACATTTTTTGAGAAATCAGTAAGACAGGATCATCTGTTAATACTACTCATTCAGGCTTAAAATTGTGTTGTAAACAGTAATTCAAAATGTCTGTTTTCTGTACTCATAGAGACTGTGCATTTATTTTGTAGCATAAAATCGAGTAAGAGATAAAAGGTATGTACATTACCAAATAACACTCTTACAGAAGCAGTCTAGCAAAACCCTGGGTTTTCATAGTTTTAATTTATAAGTAGCATTTTAAATACTTGAAAAATACTTTGTTCTTGCAAATGTGTTTTCCTGTGAATATTCTAAATGCATGGTTTAGTAAATGATTACATTTAAATTTTCAGTTAAACTTTATGTTCAGCGAAACTGAACCACTTTGGAATATGACAAGAGAGACTTTTTTTTTTAATACATATACCTTACTGAGAAAATTAGAACACTAAATTATTAATTCCAGACAATCATTTTGCATTAATACTATGCACAGTTCATTCCTGAATTTATCTGAAACAGTGAGCCTTTGGGGAGATCTTTTTAGAATTGCCTGTCTGCAGAATGACTTCAAAAGAAGCTTGTTACTTAAATTGCCAGTACATTTACACACATCTGAAAACACTGATGTGGATGAAATGGTGGAGCAGATTATACGTATGGTCATTTTTCTGTCCACTAACTTCCATTTGTCAGAACAGAAATAAGGGAAGGAGAAGACCTTTGTGCTAAGATGCAAGTAGCTTTGTCATAATCATAGAATCGTAGAATCATAGAACAGTTAGGGTTGGAAAGGACCTTAAGATCATCTACTTCCAACCCCCCTGCCATGGCCAGGGACACCTCGCACTAAACCATGCCACCCAAACTCATAGATGAGTTTGTAACTTCGGTTTGCAGAACTGTTGGAAAGGCAGTCCTTCCAGCAAAGTCAGATCACGACAGCATAGTGAAATGCGCTTAGGTAGGTACTTTACCCCATGGTCATTGTTCAGGCTGCTCACTGTTTACTCAGCATTGAAGATCAAATATTGCCAAGCTATTCCCATGCTTGTTTTGCCTTTGTTTGATCTTTCTTAATTCTTGCAGACAGTTAATCCTCATGAACTTGGCACAAGTTTGGGTAATAAATACACTTGCTAAGATTCAGTTTCTTGTGAAGGCCATTCACTTTGTGCTTCTCATATCCCTGTCTTTAGTGTATTTTGGTCTTTGTCATTGGGTCTGCTTGCCATTGCTAGCATGCGCAATTTGGTTTAAAGTTCCCTTTGACATGAAGTGGATTTGAGAATTGGCAAACACCAAGCTATTAATGTTCATGTTTGATACTAAATTAGACTGTAAAATAATTTGTGTATCTGTAGTAGTCACCAAAGCAAGAATATAGTTCTGAAGGAATTGCAGACCAGCACCCTTACGCTTGGTTGTTTCATAATTCCCTGTATGAGAGAGATAGAGTAAGTGTTTAAGAAATAGGCTGGGGATTTTACATATGCTGAAGTCAGTTTGAAGTCGTGGCTGCTGTAGCTGCCCTACATTTCCTATACATACTAAAGCACAAGTTCAGTATGTGTACTGTAAGACCTGAATACAGATATGCATGGATGGTGGTAACTCCTGACGTGTTCCATATTGCCAGATTTTGATGTTCATGACTTCTGTGTCAAGTTTTCAAATACATGGCAGTCACAGTCTTTACTTTTAAAATAAACAAACGCTTTCATGCAAGGCAGCTAAAGGGTGGCCAACTTCCACTGGAGTTGGAAAGCAGACAGAAATGAGAAGGCATCCCTGAGCGTGATCTTCTCAACAGATTGTCTCAGAATGCAGTGCCATCCCATATGAGTTAACAGCCAAAAATCTTGTTGGTCTTCTGTGATATTTTCCCAGTCAAGTGATTTCCAGACTAGTGAAGTGACTGGTGCTTCTTACTGTTTCTGCTATGTTGTTCCAACTTGTGAGTATCCTGGGCTACTGGGGAGGATAGTCTCCAACTGCAGTGTGCAGAACAAAGTAATGAAAAATTACAGTATTTGACATGCAGGGAGAAAAATCTTACTATAGGCTGCCAGTTATTTGTGTTCTTTAAAAAAATAGAGCAAAGAGAAACCCTCTTTCTAAGTAATAAACTTACTCTATTGTTCTATTCGGTGTTTTTTTCTTTATTTTTTTAAATTGGGAAAGAATGTTGTGGTTACATGAGAGACGGCATTGTATTATTTTAAATAAGTGTTGGAAGCTTCCTATAACTTTAATTAAGTACTGCATCTTAACTATGCTTTTTAGTAATCGGACTCCACAGTAGACTTCTAGAAACATTAAAGTGCCTAAGTCTCACATCTGCCTTCGGCCTTACGTGTTTCTATGGTGTAGTAAGACATATGTTTCATGTGTTATCACCAAATTGTTAATGCTGGTATTCCAGTGATTGACCTCTGCTCTTGAAATTGATCTTTTCACTCAAGTAGATAACTGTTGTGGGTGTAAGACACTGGAAAATAACTTTTTATTGTTTAGTAAAAGGAGAAAGTGACTTTTTCTGAAATATGTATCGACTATTTAACGTTCTTGATTCTTTTTAAAATTAAAGGGTGGCAATCTGTATTTTGTTGTGTTGAAAATTTGGAATGTATTGCCATGTTAGTTTGTCAGTGTATGTCTGAAGCTTTAATTATTCTCATACTTTTAAAATATTAACTATTTTCGCTTTAAATGTGATTCTCTTGTCTGTTTAAGATGGTCCAGCTGAAGCATCTGTTACAAATGGAGGCACTGCTGCTGTCACAACGCTGAATGATGACCTGGATATCTTTGGTCCAATGATCTCTAATCCTTTACCAGCAGCTGCTGCACCTCCTGCTCAGGTAAAATTTATTTAGTTACATGTGTGTGTAAATCTGTGCACTCGTGCATATTTTCCTTCAGGGAATTGTTCATTCACACAGAAAGGATTCATATTTCTCACACTTATGGCTGGAAACCCTTTAAGCAGTAATGGCTAGATTTTTTTCAGCCCTTCAGATGTCTATACTGCTAGGCTATATTATAGCATTAGGAGGCAGTGTGGTCTTCCCTTCTGATTCTCCCTGGTTATTCAGCTAAATTGGATTCTGTCTTACCCTGGTGATGGTAGTCATGTTTTCTTTTCATTTATATTGTTTTGTCTTGTTCTTTTTTAATAGGTATTGCTGGATATACTTTATGTTCTTAGGTTATTTGGCTCTAAGTCATATTTTTCAAGACCTCTTACTGATTTATGATGCTGATATTTAGGAGAGGCTACAGCAGATGCTTCTGTCTTAGAGATGCTAAAGATTTGGGGTCTCAAGTTTCTCAAAATCAAGAATGGATATCAAGAGCAACTAATACAGCTACCTGTGCTGATCTTTTGTCTCATCTTGGAACTTGTATGCCTGTCTTTCCTCAAGGAAGGGTAGCATAACCCCTGCGCCTGGCGTGTTCCGTCTCTTATAGCTATAACAGTTTGGAAGCAACCCCATTGCCTGCAGTAGCTGAGAAATGCAGCTTTGGGACACAAAGGAACTCCTTAAAGCTGCAGCTGTCTTAAAGTACCTGTCAGCCTCAAAGAATGTTGGTGTTGAACAGGGCTGGTACAGATCAGAATGTGCATGTGCAGGCTTCCTTACCCAGAGTGGCTTCTGAGAGGGAGGCTTTGGAGGAGTACTCAGCTCATCTCCCCATCTCTGAGGCCATTTTAAGGTAATTTATAAGCTTAATTTTGCAGAAGGCTTTGTGTTTCACTCTGCTGAACTGGAAAGAACTGTTTGTGTTCTTGATTTCATGGTTTGGGACCTGTGATATGTACTTGTTTATCCAGTAGTTTTCATAATACATGAAATGGAAGGGGTGATGATGGAAAGGAATTCTGATTGAACTGGCATATTGTAATTTCATTTCCAAATTTTATGTTTAATCATTTTGGTCAAAGGATATCCATGTTGTTCAGCAGATTTGATTGTAATTTTTATTCCTTAACCTTTACTCTTCCTTTCCCTACTTGTTGCTGAGGGCTGTCTTTGTGCAATGTGCTAGATAGGATTTTAGAGACTTAAACCACGTTTCTTTTTAATCATGAAGCTATGGATAGAGCAAGCTTCCCACCATGCCTTAAGCCACCCAGGTGGTTCAGCCACCTGGGGACTTCTGCAGTTGAGCACCCAAACAGTGAGTTCCTGTCTTTGGAATTGGAAAATTTAGAGTAGATATCTATGGCAAATTCTTAAGTTGAGATGAGTAGCACTTGTTTCAATATCTATTAACAGAATGCATTAAAATAGAAGAAGGGACCAAATGTGGGGTAGTGTGGCTTGCTTTCTTACTCAGGAGATACTTACCATGATGTTCTACAGAGTGTAGGTGCTTCTGAGATGCCGCAGTGGGATTTCTGAACATAGAAAAAGAAGAGAATTTAATGCTGTTCCTCAGACTGATTTGTAGAAGCAATGTATGACTTGATTTTTCACAGGATTGCTTGTCTTTTCTAGCTTAACCTGAAAGGCAGCATTTAGTGCTAAATGCACATGGTTTTATGGCACTCTGGAGCACAGAAATGTCTGTTTGAATGTTTTATTATGAGAGTGAAACAATGTGATGTCTGCAAACCTGAGGATTTATAACCACTGACATAGCCAAGACATGATTTTAAGATGAAAACAGACCTGCTTGTTTTTGCTTTTTCAAATGTCACTTGAGCATTCAGAATCATGTGCACTTTGACTCTGCTGTCAGATATGTGTCTTTATTACAGGTTTCAAAACCGCTTAGAATATTACTTCCTGCTCTTCCCTATAGCTGGATGCTAGTAAAAGCTGTTGAATTTATAAAGGACTGGTAAAGAGCAACATGTGAAGGAGTAACTTTTTTCCTAGAATTTTGCCCATTAGTAAACACAAGGGGGTTTAAAAAGAGTTGATTTAACCAGCTCCTACTATAAAACTAGATAAAAGGCATATGCTATAGATTTATCTGCTATGCAGTATTCATGGAGAGAAATGGTATAGATTTATCCACTATGCAGTATTCTTGGACAGAAAAAAGGATGAAAGACATTTTGTATGTTTAGTGATGTGTATGTTGTATGTACGATGTGTGTTTAGTATGTAAAGTGCGCATAGCTAAATTATATACAACAGGGTTTTTGTTGCCAAACATTGTATAGGAACTGTGTGAAGGTCTGTCATTCTTAGCTAGGATGGTGTGTCTACCATCTCTCTGGGCAACCTGTTCCAGTGTCTCACCACCCTCACAGTGAAGATACTCCTTTCTCATGTCCAGCCTGAAATCTGCCCTTTTTAAAAACTATTACACCTCATCCTATCGCAACAGGCCCTGCTAAAAAGTCTCTCCCCATCTTTCTTATAGGCCCCTGTTAAGAACTGAAAGGCTGCTCTGAGATCTCCCCAGAACCTTTTCTTCTCCAGGCTGAACAACCCCAGCTCTCTCAACCTTTCCTCATAGGAGAGGTGCTCCAGCTCTCTAATTTTTGTGGCCCTGCTCTGGACTTCTCCAACAGGCCCATGTCTTTCCTGTACTGAAGACTCCAGATGATTAGGCCTTCTCAATAAATGCAATGTGCTTTAGGAACTTTAAGCCAATTATAAATTATGTATTTTAGAAATTTTATTACTTTAAGTGAATCAACCAAAACTTTACTTTTGCCCTTTCTCCAAAAATAGTTTTTCTTGTTGTAGTAGTTTATTTCAAACCACTTCATCTTTCGTTTTAGCTCTTCTTTAATCTATTCTGCCTACATGAGGATTAATGAGATGTTAATTGCAATCTCCTTGTGATTTCCTAATTATTTTTCATAATCTAACTACAGCTCATGATTTATGCTTCTCACTGATGAAAAACATCAGAGCAACAGGAATTAATAATCTGTATGTGTACACACTGGAGCTGGTTGGGGATTTAGTTTTCCTTGTAACCTCCATTCAGTCTGGTGGTTCTTCTGTATCATATGTATTGCATTTCCATCTTTGGTCATACCATTTACTTTTAAATCCTTATTTACTTAAAGTTAACTTCTGTAGATGAACTGGGGTTAACCTGGTTCAGGAGTGAAGCTGTGTAGTAAATATTTAATGTCCCACCTGCAGCAGGTTTCATTCAGTAGTCTGTCTTGACCTTTATTTCCCAGAGCACTTCCACTAAACCAGCAGCTGCCACCTTGTCTGTGGCACCCGGGGACCTTGATCTGTTCACTGAGCAAACAACAAAATCCGAAGAGTCAGCCAAGAAACAGCTCTCCAAAGACTCCATCTTGTCACTGTATGGCACAGGAACCATGCAGCAGCAAAATGCTCCTGGTAAATAATTTTGCAAAGCTTTCTACATGGTCCTATTGTAAGCTTTACCTACAATAGTTATCTACTACAAGTGTAAAACTACAGTTGGCTACCTGCTGCCTATATTAAAATGGAGATTTTTATCAGTTATAAAAATGAGAAAGGTACTGAAATGTAATACAGAAGCTAAAGAAAAACAAAGCAGTGTGTGATTTTATTTATAGCTGTTCAAATTATCAAGTACACAGTTTACTGAAAGGTTTGTGAATGCAGCTTCTGCTCTCTAATTCATTGCTTGAGGAGTGAGTCTCCACTGTGCAAAGAGACTGCCAGGATCAGGACAGAGGTCATATCTTGATTTCAGCTCCATTGGTGGGAAAGCAAAGATCTCCAATACTGCCATTAAAAGCTTCTGGTTGACCAGAGGAATTTGCTAGACTCTTTTTGGTAGTTAACCTATGGTGACAAGTCACCTTTGAGAGTTTTTAAGCAGTTTTTTGCTTTTACCAGGAACTAAATTTACAGCTTTGATGTACAACTTGACAAAGTTATCCTTTGAAATTAGTGTGGTGCACTTCGGACTTAGGTGATGAGGGAGAACATCACAAAACACTTTTGCTGAAATCTTCCCTTCTCTACTGCAGGTATGTTCATGGGGTCATCTTCTATGCCATTTACCACACAACCACCAACTCATTTTCAAGGCTTTCCAGCCATGGGAGTCCCTGTGCCTGCAGCAACTGGGATGATGGGAAACATGATGGGACAATCGGTGCCAGTCATGGGACAGAGCACAGGCGTGATGGTAGGAATGGGAATGCCCAATGGATTTACTGGTACTACGCAAACTGGTGTGATGGGACTTCCTCAAAATGTTGTTGGACCTCAAGGTGGAATGGTGGGACAGATGGCCACGCCACAAAATAAGTATGGATTGCAGCAAAGCCAGCAAGCTCAATGGAACCTCTCTCAGGTAAAGACTTGCTGTTCCCAGACAAGAGTGCTTTAGAGACGACGCTGCTTTGCAGATACACAATGTAGGCTGTAGGAGGAAGGCAGCGGTGTGGCCAAGTTACAGACTGCTAGGAACTGCTCAGAGGACCATGTTAAAAAATCAGTGGATAATTCAATTGAAGATAACTGATAGTTAAGCAGAGAATAAATGTTGCCAAAGTAGAGCAGAGTCAGCCCAGGTTCCGTAGCTGCTCTCACCCTGGCATCTGAACTAGACAGGTACAAAACTAGCTTAGCTGTAGTTACAAAATACTGAAATATAATCACTGCCTTGTAAATAAAAGCAAAATTTAATTGCTTGAGAACAGCCATTAACAATCAGTACTTTCATTTGCAGGCTTCAAGATAAATTTCAGGGGAATGTGGAGTGCTGGGCTCTCTAACCTTCACCTGTAAATAATTTGCTTAGGCTAATCTATTATTTATCTGTAGCATTTCTGTGCTATGTTCTTAAATTTCTTAAACATGTTTAAGAGGTTCTCTAGAAGTGTTAGTGTACTCTTACTCATATGTTAGTGTTAGTTAGTATACTATATTTGTACATTATCCAATGAAACATCTTGAAATTGGGTATTTGAGAGTTTATTGGGGAAGAGGGAAACAAACCTAAACGATTCATTCAGAGTTCAGTGTGGATGATAGCAACTATTTTTGTCATACTATCGTTTGAATTATGAGAACAATATAATAATTCCATGCTGCTTACTCTGGTAATTCAGGGAGTGAACCTTAGTGACTTACTCAGACTGGTTTATGTTAATGTTTACTGTTCTGCTCAGTCCTCTGGTGTGAACATTTATGAAGGTGAGCAGGATTTCTTACATGGATAAACCAGGCTGTCATTCTGCTTTGAAAAGTAGTTTGTAAAAGGTGAGAATTTCAAAATGTCAAACTGAAAAAAAAAAAGCTGTGGATTTACTGCTAAGTCTTTTTTGAGGTATGTAGCTTTAAAAAGACCTGCATCAGCTTTGAAATGAAAATCATGCTTCTTATTAAGTACATAGTAAAGGTTGGCTCAGAGAACAAGCTCTTACATGTTTCCGTACTCCTGGCGCATCAGGTGTTACCAGCATGCTGACATCCTCCAGTCTGTAGGGGAACTGTGATCTAAGCTCTAGCTCAGTTGAAAGGGGGAGAGCTTGCTTTGCCAATTAGCATAGTGTGCTTTATAGAGTCTGCTTCCTAAGAATTGTGCTCCAGAAGAGATTAACAACTAGCTAAAGCATGCTTTCATCAGCTTTTTTAAAATGTCCATGTTCAATAATGGATTGTTTTTGCAGGTACACGTGTAGAACCACACAGGGATGAGCTTTACCCTGAAACATTATTTTGCATTTACTTAATTTTTTTCCACCAGTTTCCTTTTGCAATCCAGTATTGTTTGCTTATGTTTACAGAAACTGTTTTTTACCTAATGCTATCTCTAATTTGAATCTAGTGTTGCTTATCCAAACCATCGACTCTGGTCATTAGTTGCTCCAAATGCCTTTTTGCTGAACATCTCTTCTGTCTATACAGCTGGGTTCTGGCTTGTCTGTAGGCATTAATTTTTCAGAAGGCAAGGGAGATTAACCTGAAGAATACTTTTACATTAAGCACTGAAAACTACAGTGAATAGATAATATTTGTAGAGAGTAGAAAAACTTTTGCACCGTTCCTGAAGTGAGTTGGTTGAATTTTGAACTCTTTCCAACCTTTAACTAGGTGTTGTCTTTAATTTGATGTCAACGATTTCACTTGTTTTGAAAAATGATGGTATCTTGAGTAGATTCTTTAGCAAGAATGGTTAAATTTAGGTAATATTCAAGTTTATAAATCCACCTCGGTCTTTGTTGGTTGCCACCTAAATGGACATTTCTGTAAAGACTCATACAGTCAAGATTATGAGGTCTCCAAAGAAATATTGCTAGAACAAAAAACATCTGGAGTTGCAGATGTAGACAAGGCTGTATTACTTACTTTGGTGTTTCTTTATCACAGTTTTGTTGGTTAGCTTTGAAAACTGGAAAGCAAGATCTTCTCAGCTGGGACACATCAAACTCCTTCCTGTGTCACACACTCTGTAAATTTGCTAGTGGAGTGTTTATTCAGACTTGATGTCAGACATCAAGTGCTACAGCCAGTCAGCTGATGTGTAATGGTGACTGAGAAAAAGCTGCTATATTGAAAAATGCTGAGAAACTTGCATTGAGTCAATGTTTTATGAATTTTAGGAAAACATACTTTAGCAGGGTTGCTAGTTGGAGGAATGACTGACTGCTTTGTGGCTCACAGCGTGTCGTGTTTCAGCACCAGCACTAACTGTACTTGTGTGTGTCTGTGTGCTTCCCAGATGAATCAGCAAATGGCTGGAATGAACCTCAGCAGTTCCAGCAATGTGATGGGCTTTGGCCAGCCCCCCAGCACAGCAGCAGGATGGACTGGAAGCTCCTCTGGTCAGACTCTCAGCACACAACTGTGGAAATGAAAGTTGCAACAGAAGTCTCACCCAGAACAGCCACCTAACATTCCTTGTTCAAATGCATTTACTTTCACTGTTCCTTCCATATACATACTCTTTTTCTTTTCCCCCCAGCTGTTCAGATTAAGAATATAACTGACTGACCGTGTTGTGGTCTATATTGATTTAAATTTGATGTAGTGAAAAGCAGATCAAGAATACATTTATACATCATTGGCAGCATTTTCATACAATGCATATGATTTCATAGACCATGTGTTTAAGAAGCTGCTTAACCACATACTTTTTTTTTTCCCCTCCAAGTTCTAGATCAAATGTTTGCATATAAGGGACGTAGCTATCATGTTAGTAATATCCAAAAATACAAACCCTGACCCCACCCCCCAAAAAATTACCCAGTAATCCTGTAGAAGGTACTGTATGAACAAATGTTTAATCATATATAAATAGAATGTAAATGTATCACTGAGCAATGTTTTCTAGTGTATCAAACAAATTTTGTTTCATCTTACATTTCACTGTGATGTTCCTATGGTGTGCATAACAGGGAATATGCTTATGGAAAGGAAGGTAAACCTGGATGTTACTGTAGTTCTACAAATCAATAGTTTATTCTTTTAAAAATGAGCTGTGACAAAGTTTCCAATCTGGCTCACAAGGCATGTACACAGTATTAATGCAGAGAACTGACAGCACAGTATGTGCACAAGGTACCTCGGCGTGAGCACACACATTTTTCCTTGCAGAGATATCCAGGTTTATGACAGTGATTTGTGTTTACATTTTATGGTGCCTCGTAATGATAAAATGTTATTTCCCAATATTAAAAGGATAAATCCATAAATGGTTGTGCATTTTTATTTCATTGTTGTGTCACCTACTTGACAGCTATTTCTTCAAGAAGTCTACTTTTAATGAAGGAAAACATGTTCAGTTTGGAGGAGGATCCATTTATGCAGATATTTAAATCAGCAGTTCGTGAGTTAAAATCAGTTTATAATTACACCATTAAGCTGGATAAATACAAAAAGTATATACATAAATGGTGATTTTGAAAATACTCCAGTGCAGCCAGATTTCTCTTAGATTCTTTTTACTATGTGGAAACAGCCTTCAAACAAAGGTAAGTGTCAGTCTATTAAGACGAGAGTTCAGAAATGCATGCAAACAAGTTAGAACGAAGCACACCCACTTGATTTGCTTATTAGAGTATCTGACAGCTTCCTTTTGCTTCCACAGGAGTCCATCAGATGCCTGTTAAAAGGTCTCACACAGAAGCAGACTGTTTTAACTGGATGAATTGAAACACCTTCTGACACATCCACTGTACTGTACTTCTCTGTAACTGTATCTCTGCATCATACCTCAATGGTGACTGTGTCCAGGTGGTATTTTGGCTCATTAGCTAGATTTACTTTTTCTGTTCGCGTGTGCCATACAAGAACCTATAAAATAACACTTGTGTTAGTACAGGCATCTACAGAGATGATCCAAAAGCTCTTCAGTAAGTGTGAAAATCAGTACCTTCGTGCAGTTGTTTGCTTTTGGCTCCAGTTCCTCCACTGTCGTTATCTGTTTCAGGAAATCAGATTCTTGCATTCCCGGTTGAGAACCGCGCCGCTTGAATACGGCTTTTGGATGTGACAGAATTACTTGAAGACTCACAGCAAACCCTTGGTGGAGAAAAAGGATAAGAAAAACCTTTAGGCTTTGCATTTTTGTGCAGGCTGTGCTTCAGCCTAGACCTCTCCCATATCCTTTTTTAACATGACTAAATTTGATTATAGGGATAGATAGTATTTGGTAGGTTTTGTACATCCTACATTGTTTTGTTTTGCCCTGAAGGTGCAATCAGATTTTTTTAATTGCACCATATTTTCAACATGTTTAATCAATGTCCTGTCATGTGGAGATTATATGCTTTTTTGCTTGAAAAGTCAGGTATTGCTAAGATCTTGGACTGTCCTTCCTCTCTACTTCTGAATAAGAAATAAACCCAAATTTTAAGTAAAATAAAATGTATGAAATATATACTGTACTAGCCCTCCTGCATTTGAAGGTGAGAGTTGGAAAAAGAGGTTAAAATGTTACTTATAACAACTCTAGCCTTTAGGGAATTTGTCTTTAGAGTTTCATCACTGATGAAAGACAAACCATATTAATCTTGTGCCTTGCACACTGTGTAGTTACTGTAGACTTGTGAATCATTTTCATCGGTGGTCTGCAAGACAATCAACTGATAACGTGCACTGCACAGCACGACTGGAAGGACTTCATCAGCACACATGCATTTCTGCCATGCATTCCACTAGTAACATACATTAGGGCCCTTTGGGGGGACATTACAAATTGGGAAATGACTAGTTTGAGCAAACTTGCCCCCTCTGAGGCAGCTCCTGTCAATCTCCAGTTTGCCATTATTTATAGTACTCTCCAGTTTTCATTCAGCAATGCTCAGTCACGTGTACACTTCTTCAAGTATGACTCAAAACTTGAGTGATACACTTGTAAAGAAAAAAATAGATTTGGAACTAACTCCTTAAGTCTAATTGTCAAGCCTACCAACAAAATCCTTTGTGAGTCAGTTCAGTGTTGTTCCAGCTGTCTCTTTATGACAAAAGTAGTAACAATTTTGACATCTGTTCTGGAAAACTGCAAGAACATTCAATTCGAAAGCCAGTATTAAAATTTTCTCAATTTACACATGAGCATAACTTTCTGTAATGGAATATAAATCTGCCCCCTTTTTTACTAGAATTATCTTGTTACTATATTTTCAGTGGCTTTTATGGGAACCTTTTAAAGAGGAAAATATAAGGGAGTACTTACTACATCACATGTAAAGAAGGCATAGGGAAACCACTTTAATCATGTGCTTGCTTGTAACAAAGCACAGGAAGACAGCAGAAAATGCTTTTTTTAATATTTTTTAAAGATCTGGAGACAGCAGATGAAGACTAGCAGAAGGCTGGATGTAAACTGAGGTCCCAGTTCACTGATGGACATAGTTGCAAAATATGTTTAACCTTAGGAAGGATATAACCTATAAGATAAAGAAGAGCAGGTGTCTAGAAGGAAGGGGCTTACCCACAGCTCATAGAGTCCTCTGGTGAATAAAAGACTTGCAGAAGTCTTGGCTTGGCTGCAGCCTGTCCTTGCCCCCTGTGGTTAAGCTCTGCAGACTGCCCCACCCGCCAGCAGCAGTGCTGGGATCCAGCTGTTCCCTGCTACAGCTGCTGGGTTGAGCTAAGTGGTGTCAGGCAGAAGAACAGCACTTTGGGCTTTGCTTTCCAGGTAAGCATTTCTTCTCAGCAGGCTGCAGGCCTTTCTTGCCTCCTACAATGTGTATAGCCTGGCTATGATGGAGCACAGGGTGCACTCTGTCCCAGCGCTCTTTGTAGCCAAGTGTAATTGCTTGTGAAGAGCCGAGGCTGAGAGTTTAAATTCCCTCAGCAAGAGACAGCTGCAGAGCAAAGCCAGCTGTCTACACCTTGAGAGATGACTCTGTAGGCTTATGACTGATGAACAAATTGGCCTGGTTCAGTCTTTCTGTTAGGGTTTGGGTTTGTTTTTTTCCCTCAATTAGAACAAGTTATAAATTTTGCAACTGGGCTTTAGTGTCGTTGGTATCTTGGGCACAAAAACCTTAATGTTTGCTTTGGACGGGAAGGCATTGTTGGAGCCCAGATCAGTTGTGTGAGCTGCCATTTCTTTTTAAAAATACCTAAAGTTTAAGATTTAAGCTGGTCATCTGTCCTGATTTAAGCTGAGCCTGGGACATCATCCAATAAGAAAAAAATTAAGTAAGCACCAAAATTAATGTAGAGTCCTAGTTTTTAGAGTGGTGAAGGAATTCCAGTCTAAGCAAAAGAGACATGCAGATTTTCTGCTGCTTATCTTTGCTGTCTCAGCATGGCTCTCTGGTCCCTATAGCCCATACTTATCCATACATTAATTTCTCTTACACTCGGTACTTGCAAAGCCTCTGTTGAGAAAACTGGGTTCTGTTCCAAGGGTGGATTTCTACTATGCAGAGATCTTCAGCTGCACCATTCTCTCTGCATGTAACGTGCCCTTGCTGCAATGCTATTGCAAACCAACATTTTAAGGTGCTATCAAAAGTCCCCTATGTTTTCAGGCATCAAATAGAAGTCAAATTATTAAACGGAGTATTGCATGTGGCAAGGACATGGACTACTGTGCACTGGCTGGACTGTGGCCTGAGGTTTGGTTCCTTGATCAGTGGTCATGCAGTCTTTGTTTCTTAGAAGAATCTAATAAAGCAGCAACCTGGAGAGAGAAAATAACTCAAGGAAACTCACTGTCTCTGGTTCTTCAGCTCTGCTTTATCACTGCTTTAATTTCACGTGTATGATATTTTTATTGTTGACAGACTTCAGATGGACTTGAGGGAAAACCATTTTCCAGGGACAACTTTCAGTTGACTTTTTATCAAAGACCGATAATTTTAGCATCAAAAAAAGAGGAGACGGCTCAGGTTTTGACAGTCTGGCACTAATTTCTCTCAGTAGATAATGATCCTGTGGTAACAGATGAAAAGATGCTTATTTTGAATTCTATCCCCAAACGGCTTAATCTGGGATTACTGCCTCCAGTGTAGCATAACTGAGCAGTGCTACACACGTATAATTCTTTCACTTGATCATTATCCCTAACAAGGTCATATTGGGCTTAAGTTTACACAAAATGCCATAGGAAAATTTCAAAGCTGTAGTGTGAGGAAGTGTTTTAGGGTTTTTGTGGTTTATGCGAGGCTGTAAATTAAATCTAATTGGCTGACGAGCCACCTAGGTAAGAATTAATTTGTTGGAGGACAAGATACCTGGGAGACAGGGCAAAGATTACATCTGTGCTTCTTTCTACAGAAGCTGTTTCTGTTAATTCACACCTTGACTTGTATTAGATCAATGGCATCTGTTAAAAGGCAGAACCATTCTTCTTTATCCGGTTAGACTGAGGTGGTTTTTAAAGATTTTGTTGCTGTGATTAATGTCTTTGCTTCCCAAATGCTCTAGATAGGATAGTAGCTGAAGGCAAGCTAGGAACAGAGTGTTTATCATGTCCAGAGTGTATAAATGCTAATGCTTAGTGCAGATGCTGAAACCTATATACTGGTTTCCACACAGTTCAAAGTACTACCCTTGGTGTGCTGAACATGCCACGGGTTGGGGTGTGCTTCTTTCAAGTTACCTGCTCCCTGTGACATACTTTTTGGGTTGCAGTAAGGCAAAGAGGCTCAACCAGAATGAAAGCGTTTGCTGACATTCACCATGGAAGAGGCTCCGGATTTGAAACTCAGCATTTAAAATAGTTGTTACCCTTTGATGGAGGGATGGTTGGGAGGGGGTTTTGAGTGTGCTGTCTGCCATAGCCACTCAAATTTGTTGTTTGTACTTGTGACCTCCAGCAGTGGCTCTTCTAGATTCAGATAAAATATGCCATGTTTTACAGTGTCATTAATAGACCAAGCTTTTTTCTCAGGGAACTGTAAGAAAGATGATGTACTAAAGATCTTGTAAATATAGCAAAATCTCCAGAAAAAGGCTCAGATCCTAGCACAGGAACTTAAGGCACAGGGGATGGGCTCTGGACCACAAGTCCAAAATCTGATCAGCCGGTAGTTCACAGGCATGGGTTAATCTCTACGACTGAAGTAGCTCCTGAATGCTAATGCAAAGCATGCATCTGTTTTCCTTGAACCATCTTGGCATTAGGAGAATCACGATCTAACTTCTCATGGGTGGCCAAAAGCTCCAGCACTGGGAACAAGCCGTAAGTAAATCACTAACAGCATCATTTAATATGGAAGATTTAAAATCAGAT